ACCCACAGAACAAGGATACAACACGCTAAAGAGTAACTTATAATCACTAAATGTTAGCACCATTACCTGCTGTTAGGAAGGGATTGCAGACCTCTCTCTTCAGTCTCTGGAAATACCTGGATGCCTCTGCATGAGTTCCACTTGTTCCCAAACGCCACAGGGCCAGGGACTCCCTATGCATCTGCAGGAAAAGAGCTTTAGCCAGAGCTTGGACACTCTGTCCAGGGAGCTGAAAGCAAAGTGGATTTTAGGTTAAGAATGGCCCTCCCTCCTTTAACCAGCAGGTAACAAGGGAAAAAAGAAGTGAAAAACTGACAGAAAGCAGGAAAAGGGCCTTAAGGAAGACTTAATGTAATACCGCCAAATGAAAAAAAAAACCTAAATGTGCGGCTCCCTACTCAGATACAATAAGCTACGGAGCCTTGGTTATTAATTAAAACTAGAGATGAAAAAATCTAATTCATTACCCAAGCAATTCTTCTGTTGGAACTTCTCACTCTTTACAAGGCCTGTCCTCTTTTGGGGGGAGGTGGAGGGGTAGGCCAGCAGACAGAGAGGGAGAGATGTTTACCACTTTATATACCAGAAAATTACATTTGCTCTGACTTATGCTTTGATTCATTAACAGTGTACATTTATAGATGTTCATGTGTGAGAGATGAAGATTAAGCTGATGATGGGAAACTAGTAGAATGATACAGAATTTGTTTTAGATCTGAGACCACTAGATACCCTCTGTCTTCTGAAAGTAATCACAGGGACTGAGTGAGGTAGAAAAAGAGTTGGGGCTTCATATGTTTAGGACAGAAGCCCGAGGTGGACGTGGGCAGTCCTTCAAATCCAATTTGCACCCAAATTGACCGGTAGGATTTACAAAGCTCCATCCAGGGACTTTCAACTTGCACAATGCTCTGCCCAAAGTACCCCCTCCCCCTCCATTTCATCTAGTAGCAGCTCTAAAAAGAAGCCATTGCTGAGACAAATGTGGGCTGCTGAGTAAATAGTGCATGTTTTGTTGAGCAAGCCTACCCCCACACCTATATATATATATAGTACTCTATCTCACCATGAAGTCCATTAAAATTATTAAAAGGATAATAAAATCATTTCCCCCCAGATTGCAAATGACCTCTGTTATTAGGGAGAATAGATTTTTACAGTGATTATATTAAAGTATAATCTATTTACTCTTACAAAAATATCCTATTCTGAGACTTGCATCCATGCAATCCTTAAAATAATATAACACATTCTTAATTTGCATGCAAAATATTTTCCCAGTCAATATAAGCTCCTGGGACATCAAACAAGATTATTACAGCTCTCATTAGCAGACCCCAGTTTTTGCTTTTTGAAAGTAAACAAAAGAAAAACTTATTTTCACCTGCTAAAATTTTATGCACGATTACAAAACAATGCACACTCAGCTTTGACCTAAGAAACACCTTTAAAACATTAAAAATTCATCAGTCAGTGCTGGTGTTGTATTCAAGGAATGCTCCTCCAGTTTGCTGCTGAGCTCAGATTTGAATAAAATGTCCAATGTTAACAAACAATACCCACGTTTGGCACTTTGTGTATTAAATTGATCAAACAGATTTTAGGAGGCACAATGCACAATTTGTACAGACCTGATTGAGTTAATATAATATCAGCAAATTTTACATCGAAATGATTCTGTTTCTTTTCTTTGTGTTTAAAACCAGCACAGATTACAAATTTTAATGATCTGAAAATGTTTGGTATACAAAATCATGCTTATTTCAGTATTAGCAAAAACACAAGAAATTTTTCAACACAAACACCCAGCTGTGTCTATTTTAAAAGCAGTTCAATGACAGCTTGCACTTATGAGCATGCAATCAGCTAATTTCGCTTTTTTTTCTTCTGTGTTAATCAACACTTTCCTTCCTGCATATCAGAGTACAAATAGTATAGTTACTCCACATCAGTAAATGTTTACGTAACCTGTCCTTTCCCAAGAATCCGGTTACACCGAATCATTTCACGCTAGACCGACTACGAAAACGTACCGGGCCGTCCACCTCAGAGGGAGCCCTTGTGTGCCATTATAAGTGGTGATGAGAAGGGGGGTTGTGGGGGGAGAAATGGGGAGGAGTAGGTGGAGGAATGGAGTGAGGGAGAGGAATAGACTGAGGGGAAGGGGGGGGGTAGTGAGTGGGGAGGATGGGGGAAGAAGAGAGGAGGGAGGAAAGTGAGTTGAGGAAGAGTAGGAATAACAGGCCTGAGGGGGGCGGGGAGTGAAAGGAGGAAAGTAAGCAGAAAGAAGAGGAAGGCTCACAGATCTCTCCAACCAGTCCCCAAAGCCCATTAGCTCACCCAGCTCTGTAAGAAACTGGAGCTTAGAAGTCAGTGTTTGGGGCCATGTCACTATCAACGTTTATAGTTGGGACCCTTGAACTTTCCCACATGTAAATATAGCTTAAGTAAGGTAATACGTAGAAATGGGAGGGGGGATACATACATACAGTGGAAGGACAGATGAGGTTAGTCCAATATTCAAAGTTTCTTTACGGTATTCCTAATAGAGATTTTAAAAATAACTAGCTATTTGTAATTGTCTGTTATTCTCTTCAGATTTTATTCTCGCTTTCTCTTCCTCTGGATTTCAAGGCAGGAAGTGGGGTGGGGAGAGTGCAATAACTCCATATTAACCTGAGTATTCTTGTATTCATCAACTGCATTCTTTATATTAGAATTGAACTTTAACATCACACATAGGCATTGCTTTTTCTTCCTTTTCGTAAATACTAAATCTGCCAGACAATTTGATAGTTTATCAACGTTAGTAAATGTTTACATTTTATGATTATCTTACAGAGGAGGGGTAAAGTGCCTTTCGTTTATGCTTCTCCTCCACCTCTCTCTTCTCTAGGGCTACATCCTCCGTAAAATGTGGTATGTTTCATACCCATGTGGGATGAAACAGCCTTTGATCAGTGTGCTCCGCACCAAATTCCAATCCCTGGGAAATGCTGGGCCTTAGCCCTGCCCCTGGCCACGGGATCCTTTTAAAGCCCCCGAATCACAATCTCCCCACTCACTTCAGCCCTCAACCGAACCTTCCCAGTTCTAAAGCCCAAGAAGCTGGGATTGTGGGACCCACGTACCCAAGGCTTCTAGTTGCCTTCCATCTGCATTCAGAGTGGGAATGGGCTGGCTTCAGCATGCGGTTATTTCAGCATTAAGGCCCGCACAAATCAAAAGCATTTGAGAAACGGAAAGAAAAAAAGAAAAAAGGGGGTGAAAACAGGAAGGCTTAAAAAAATTTAAAAAAAAAAAAAAAGGAAAGAAATAGCCGCCCACCCTTATTTTCCCTCCAATGTCAACAAGCAAAATGAAACATTTCCAGGGTGATCGCTCGCGGCTACTCGCTTCCAATTCGGATTAGAAGCTGAGGAGACGCTCGAGCGGCGAAGAGAAAACGACACCGAGTCACCCAGCGTGTGAGCGACGGTCTGGAGCAGGAGAGAAGGGGAAGGAAGAGACACATATACATAGCATGTGTTACCTGGTTTATTTCGAGATTGTTTGGTATTGTTTTCTCTCTGAGCACCCCTCCTTTCGGAAGGCTCTTATAGGCGCCCACCACTGAGCCGCCCCCGCCCGCCGCCGCAGCGCCGGGACCCCAGGCCCGGCTTCCCCGCGGCGCCCGAGCTCCGAGCTCGCCGCCGCCCGGCCGCAGGAACTGAGTAAGTAACCCCTGTTTGGCCCCCGCGCTCGCCACCCACTTCCTCCTCCTCATCCCTTCGTTTCCAAACCCCATCCAGACCCTCCTCCCCCCAAGGTGCAGGACACCCCCCTCCCCACACCAGGGGTGGGCCTTCCCTCCCCAACCATCCAAAGCTTCGCAGGAGTGTTACCTACAAGGGGCATAATTTTCCTACGGGCTCAAAAATGCCGACCCGGGCCTGCAGGGCCGACTCGGGAAAGGAGCGCCTCGCCTCTTCCTCCTCCATTTCCTGCCCTGTCCTTGAATCCTCTCCCTGCACTCCCACTCTTCGCTCCACCACCGCTGCCGCCGCCGCCCCCGCTTTAAAAAAAATAAAATTGAATACAAACTTTAATCAATAACGACAAATATTGACGCTCAAAAGAAAATGACCCAAGACAGTGAGAAGGCAGCCAGAAATGTGAGATATTTGTCCTAAGAGGGGGATTTCGGTTGGGCAGACCCGCAGGGTGGAGGGGGTGGAGGGGGCGCAGAGAAGGGCCGCGGCGCAGCGTGCTCCCGGCGGCGTATCCCTGCGCGGCTCCGCTCGGCCGCGAGGCCCAGGCCCGCGGTGAGGGGGAGGCGAGCGCCGAGGGGGCGGGAGCCAGCGGGCGGGGCGGGGGTGGGTGGGCCCAGATCCGCCGATTGGTCGACGGCAGGAGAGACGCTCCCGCACGCCGCCAGTTCTGATTGGCCCAGCGGTAGGAAAGGTTAAACCAAAAATTTTTTTACAGCCCTAGTGTGCGCCTGTAGCTCGGAAAATTAATTGTGGCTATAGCCGCCTCGATCGCTGTCTCCCCAGCCTCGCCGCGGCCGCTCCGGGACGCGCCCGCCCGCCGCCCGGCTCTCCCCCCCTTTGGGCTGCTGCTGCTGCTGCTGTGACTGCTGCTGCGAGAGGAGGAGGAGGAGGAAGCAGCAGAAGGGGGGGGGAGCGGGGGGTGGGGGGGAGACCAAGAAGTAGAGTTGGGAGCGAGGGAGCTTCACCCCCGGGGCGGTGGTTGTTTCTTTTTTCTCTTTCTTTCTTTTTTTCTTTTCCTTTTTTTTTTTTTTTCTTCTAATTCCTGAGGGGTGGTTGCTGCTTTTGCTACATGACTTGCCAGCGCCGGAGCCTGCGGTCCAACTGCGCTGCTGCCGGAGCGCTCAGTGCCACCGCCGCCGCCCGCGCCGCCCGCGCCCCGCTCGGCACCCACCGGTCGCCGCCGCCCGCCGCGCCTCTGTCCCGCTCCCGCGCCGCCACCGCCGCCGTTTCCCCCCCGACGACTGGGTGATGCTGGACATGGGAGATAGGAAAGAGGTGAAAATGATCCCCAAGTCCTCGTTCAGCATCAACAGCCTGGTGCCAGAGGCGGTCCAGAACGACAACCACCACGCGAGCCACGGCCACCACAACAGCCACCACCCCCAGCACCACCACCACCACCACCATCACCACCATCACCCGCCGCCGCCCGCCCCGCAACCGCCACCGCCACCGCAGCAGCAGCCGCCGCCGCCGCCGCCGCCGCCCCAGGCTCCGCAGCCCCCCCAGGCGCGGGGCGCCCCGGCAGCCGACGACGACAAGGGCCCCCAGCAGCTGCTGCTCCCGCCGCCGCCGCCGCCGCCGCCGCCGGCCGCCGCCCTGGACGGGGCCAAAGCGGACGGGCTGGGCGGCAAGGGCGAGCCGGGCGGCGGGCCGGGAGAGCTGGCGCCCGTCGGGCCGGACGAGAAAGAGAAGGGCGCCGGCGCCGGGGGGGAGGAGAAGAAGGGGGCGGGCGAGGGCGGCAAGGACGGGGAGGGGGGCAAGGAGGGCGAGAAGAAGAACGGCAAGTACGAGAAGCCGCCGTTCAGCTACAACGCACTCATCATGATGGCCATCCGGCAGAGCCCGGAGAAGCGGCTCACGCTCAACGGCATCTACGAGTTCATCATGAAGAACTTCCCCTACTACCGCGAGAACAAGCAGGGCTGGCAGAACTCCATCCGCCACAACCTGTCCCTCAACAAGTGCTTCGTGAAGGTGCCCCGCCACTACGACGATCCGGGCAAGGGCAACTACTGGATGCTGGACCCGTCGAGCGACGACGTGTTCATCGGTGGCACCACGGGCAAGCTGCGGCGCCGCTCCACCACGTCGCGGGCCAAGCTGGCCTTCAAGCGCGGGGCGCGCCTCACCTCCACCGGCCTCACCTTCATGGACCGCGCCGGCTCCCTCTACTGGCCCATGTCGCCCTTCCTGTCCCTGCACCACCCCCGCGCCAGCAGCACTTTGAGTTACAACGGCACCACGTCGGCCTACCCCAGCCACCCCATGCCCTACAGCTCCGTGTTGACTCAGAACTCGCTGGGCAACAACCACTCCTTCTCCACGGCCAACGGCCTGAGCGTGGACCGGCTGGTCAACGGGGAGATCCCGTACGCCACGCACCACCTCACGGCCGCCGCGCTCGCTGCCTCGGTGCCCTGCGGCCTGTCGGTGCCCTGCTCCGGGACCTACTCCCTCAACCCTTGCTCGGTCAACCTGCTTGCGGGCCAGACCAGTTACTTTTTCCCCCACGTCCCGCACCCGTCAATGACTTCGCAGAGCAGCACGTCCATGAGCGCCCGGGCCGCGTCCTCCTCCACATCTCCGCAGGCCCCCTCGACCCTGCCCTGTGAGTCTTTAAGACCCTCTTTGCCAAGTTTCACGACGGGACTGTCCGGGGGACTGTCTGATTATTTCACACATCAAAATCAGGGGTCTTCTTCCAACCCTTTAATACATTAACATCCCGGGGACCAGACTGTAAGTGAACGTTTTACACACATTTGCATTGTAAATGATAATTAAAAAATAAGTCCAGGTATTTTTTATTAAGCCCCCCCCATTTCTGTACGTTTGTTCAGTCTTTAGGATTGTTTATTATTCTAACAAGGTGTGGAGTGTCAGCGAGGTGCAATGTGGGGAGAATACACTGTAGAATATAAGGTTTGGAAGTCAAAATTATAGTAGAATGTGTATCTAAATAGTGACTGCTTTGCCATTTCATTCAAACCTGACAAGTCTATCTCTAAGAGCCACCAGATTTCCATGTGTGCAGTATTATAAGTTATCATGGATCTTTATGGTGGACGCAGACCTTGAGAACAACCTAAATTATGGGGAGAGTTTTAAAATGTTAAACTGTAATTTGTATTTAAGAAGCATTCGTAGTAAAGGTGCCCAGGAAATTATTTTGGCCATTTATTGTTTTGTCCTTTTCTTTAAAAAACTGTTTTTTTTCCTTTTGTTTACTTTTAGACCAAAGATTGGGTTCTAAAATGCACTTGGTATGCTAAGTATTAAAAAAAAAAAACAAAAAAAACAAAAAAAAAAACAAAAAAAGGAAAGTTGTTTCAGTTGGCAGCACTGCCCATTCAAATGAATCGGAAGGGGACAAAATTAATGATTGCCTTCAGTTTGTGTTGTGTATATTTTGATGTATGTGGTCACTAACAGGTCACTTTTATTTTTTCTAAATGTAGTGAAATGTTAATACCTATTGTACTTATAGGTAAACCTTGCAAATATGTAACCTGTGTTGCGCAAATGCCGCATAAATTTGAGTGATTGTTAATGTTGTCTTAAAATTTCCTGATTGTGATACTGTGGTCATATGCCCGTGTTTGTCACTTACAAAAATGTTTACTATGAACACACAGAAATAAAAAATAGGCTAAATTCATATATATCTTGATACTTTTGTCTCTTTTATTAAATAGAGCTAATTTTTAAAAGACCATTAAAGTTCTAGGGAATTCAAAGGCTTTTTCAGCCAACTAAAATTTAACTGCTCCTTCATTTGAATTGAGACTTTAAAAATTAAAATAGTATTTTTTTTCCATTGTGGAATCAAATTTTACAAGGAGCAGGCTATTTAATAAACACTAGCTTTAAAGAAAGTATAGGCTTTTCAGCTGATATCTTCAAGTTTCTGTAGATATACAGCAAAAAAAAAGATGATAATTTTATGTGCATAGCTATTTACCTTGTGTTTATTTTCAAATCAGTTGATAGAATGCTTTTTATATATTTTGTTTCAGGTATCTTGTTTATAGCATTTGGCAAATTATAAATAAATATATGTATATGGTTAGATAGAAGTGAATATAATGCACACATATGTAATATATATATAGACACACAGAGCCCTTCAGTTCAGGTACAATTTGCGCTATGAATGCTGCAAATATTTTTGTTTAAATATTTGTATTTATACTTTCTAAGTCAGCATTTATTTTTGTGGCTGTTTACCCACAATGAAAGAGTTCTAATAAAGATGTGCTGAAGTTGCAATATAGATTTGCTGAAGTGATCACCTGTTGTAATGACTTTCAGATCAATGTTTATATTTTATTTTTAATTATAACAACTTAAAATTCTAGATGTTCAGAAGAAGTAAAATGCCTCTCTCTCCTTTTCTTTCATTTTTACAACATAGAGGTATTTATTTGATTCCCTTTTAAATGTCTGTATAATTTAATCTAGAGATCTGTTCCTTTTGTTTACAGTCATGATTTTGTTTTAACTTACAGTATACATATGCATGCATATATATGCATATATATCAATCCGAAACAAAAAAACATTTTTTGAATTGTTTCAGCATCCCAATTGCTATGGCTCCAGAAAATAATTAGAAAACCTAAGTAAAAGGTTTAGTAACTAATTGGATCCTGTGGAGAGTCTATGGAGGACAAGTTGTTCATTTGTTACAATTGTATAGTCTGAAATGTGTTCTGCAGTAATGCAATAAGCTGGCTACTTCTTACAATGGGCCCAATGAAAAATAATCTGTCCCCAAGATGTTATCGGCAAACACTTAAGAGAGTTGCTCAGGGGGAAAAAAAAAGGAAGAAAAAAGAAAAAAGCTTAGGAGAAGCAAGCTGACTCAAATAGATTGAAATAGAAATGCAGAATAGTTAATATTGGGACATAGGGATGGGTGGGTTGTGGAAGGGAGAGAAAGACGAAGAGAGAGAGAAGAAAGGGAAAGAGGATGGGGGGGGGGCATCTCCTACTACCAAAAAGAAAGAAAGAAAGAAAGAGAAAGAGTGTGCTCTCAAAGAAAGATAGAAAGATAAAGTCCAGGAAAATTAAAAGAGGTGGAACAAAATATACACAAATGGGAAATAGACTAAAATATACCAAGACAGCTAGTTTATCTCCTTTAAGCAGACTGGACATGATTTTATTTTCTTAGTAAGAGAGCAGTTTCAAGCAGAGGTCCAACTTCTTGATATCTAACAGTTCTTCAGAATGAAGCATAAAAGAAAATTCCACAAATAAATTGTTTTAGAAGCTAAATTTATGACTGACATTAAAAATAGTAATAGAGTCCAAGTGAATGAGGTTAGGCAAGGGAAATCCCCATTACATATTTGTGAACCAAAACAGCTCAACGAAAAGCATGTGTTTAGACTGAAAAAGGTGATGATGTATTGTTTGCTATTACCATGGATTTTATTTGTGGAATGAGAATGTATTGGCACAGAAGAAATAGTCTTTTGCCTATCAAAAGTTAAAAAGAAAGTTTAACACTTGTATTGTGGTAAAAGGGACATAGAGAAGAAAGAGTTCCTCCATGAGTGTTTTTTTTTTTTTCCTGGCCATATTAAATAAGTATACTTATTTGTGATAAATGTTTATTTGCATGATTTGAGAAATCAAATTTCAGTGACAAACTTCATACTTTGAGGTCAAGCTTAAAACTGACTTCTTTGAATTCATAGGACCTAAAGACTGGAGTGAAAGTTCTCTTTGGATACATCTCCAAGTTACATATATAATGGATGTGACTAGAAGTAAGAATAGCTTATTGAATAGGCATATAAGATAGGAAGAAGGATATACAGAGAGAGAAATTTGTGAAGGCCTCCCGAAGCCCAATATGAACATTTCATTTATCTCAATCTGTCCCATCATCTCTCAAGTTATCTTTTTCAAAGATATTCAGTGTTCTAGCATGGCATTTAATAGATTCTTTTTTTTGCAACAAATTGGTTGTAATGTTGTGTTGATATTTGTTATCACCAACTTTTTCCAGTTAAAATTAGCTTATGCCAGAAAAACACATCAAAACTTTTAGAAGCTTTTCTTCTTTAGTACTAATGGTTATTTTTAATGAGAGGAAGTTTGCTCTTTTTGAGGTTTTGGAACTGAAAATGATCACAGCTTAAAACTTGAATTATCAAACTGCAGTTTATCTCCAGGTTAAAGTATTTTACTTGAATGTGTCTGATACAAAGTTAATATAGATTATTGATATATAAAACATTGAGAAAATCATTTAAACTAGAGCAGTGAGAGAATTCTTCCAAATATGTTTCTCCAACTTGTTACAAAATTGGAAGTCAAGCGAACATGAAGTCCAGAACTAATAAAATTCAATTCAAGTATCTTTATGGCAATGGAAGATTTCATGTGGTTGATATGACTTGCATAAAATCAAGTGTAGAGAGACCAAAAAATGAGTCCTGTATTGATATAATTGTATATATTTAAGTTGGTGGATATTTCACCCAAATAGGTGGATAAATTGAATATATTTAGAGCTCTAAATATATAAATGTGGTTTTTAAAAACTGTTTCCTACAACATTGTTGAGGAATTTGTGATGAAATAATTTTGCTCTTGAGAAATTAATTTTATAAATATCTAAAGTGGCTAGTTGTGTTTGGAACTAAATGCCTGCTGGAGAAATGGGCTAACAAAGGGTGAAGGTGAAGATCATTAGAGGTTTTAGAGCTGGCTGAGACGGGTTGCTGGGGTTGTATAACTGTGCCTAGAGGGCGGGGTTCCTGTACATTCCTACTTCACCAGATAACCTGCCCCCAACACCACTCCAGCTTCTGCCAGACAGATGGAACTCTCCAACGTGAAAATCTGCGCAGCCATTCCAACAAGCGGGGTAGGTGAAATTTGAATTAAAATTCTCCCCTTCCCCCCCCCCACTTGAAGCCAATTGAGGCCAAATCCAGGAGATAAGGAAAGAATAGGGGTCATCTAGATTTTCCTTTCGCGAGTACACACGTCTGCATTCTTCCTAAAAACTACCTACCTGTAAGAGTTCAAAAGGGCTTTCATTCTCGATTTTCTTTTGCGTGTTTTTCTTTTGCGTGTTCTCATCCCAGTCATCCCCCTTTCCCTACCCTCCTTCTAGGGCATCCCCTCCCCCCACCACCAGCAGTTAAAATAATCCACCTCTTATGTTTTTGGCCCCCAAACCGACCCTTTCCCCACTCTAGCGGTCAATTTGCCTGGACCATGTCCTGAAGATGTAGGCCGAAGTGGCTCTGGGGTATATATGGTGTAGTGTTGTGTTTTGAGTCTCTTTTCTCCCTTCCGATTTCTGTCTGTTTTTTCCCTTCACCCAAGACTGCCTGGTGTTGGCCGAAGGATGCCGAAGAAAAAGATTTAAGGACTGGGACACTCTTACCCCAAGATTGGTAAGTGCAAGTGCTTTTCGGAGGGAGGAGAGCTATGCCAGATTGCTTTTTACTAAGGTTTAAACCGCGTCTTTGAGGTCCGGGGCTAAAGTGCTCCTCGTCTTTTGGAAAAATTTTCTTAGCGGGCGCGCTGTCAACAGAAGTAGCTGAGAGAATGCATGATTTTTCCACGTCGGCAGAAAGGCACCGTGGATCCCTAAGTAAAGAGGATGAAGAGATGGCAAAGAGGGATGAAGAGAAAACGAGACGAATTTATGCGTAGGAGGGGTAGTGGGAGACTGAAATAGGTCCCAAAGTGCGAGTAATTCAATTGGTGGAAATAAGATTTCTGAGTCTTGCCGCAGCTTCCAGAATACCCTAACGGACCTTTCTTAAGTTCAAACTCTTAGGCATTTGTTCTCCCTATTTGAGACAGAGCTCTTTGCTCCAGAGCCAAGGACTTGTCTAATTCTTAAGTTCTTTTTTCTTTTCTTCTCTTTCTCTACCCCCCACTTTTTTTTTTTTTTTTTTTTTTTGAGTACGCCCCTCCTCCCTCTATTTTCACACTAACTTTGCCAACCTCTCCCAGATCTGGCCCTCCGCCCCCAGCTCCTTGGCCTGGGTCAGGCGAGGGTTCCCGCGGGATTTAGCGGAACAGCTCCAGGTACAGTGCGGCGGGACCGGGGTGGGAGGCTACTCCTCCGCCTGTTCGGAGGACTCGGGAAAAGCGCACCGTTCTGGGCTTGACTTTGTCCCTGATGGGAATATCCCAGTTCCCGGCTTTGGGAATCTCAGGCAAATAATTGATTATTAATGCACACTTAGGAGACGGCAGTGTGAGCTCGAGAGCCTGGCTGTCCCGAGAGTGCCCGGGGCGCGCCAGACACAGGTCAGTTTCACCCGAAGTGTATTTGGGGCCCTCGCCGAGATTTCCTATTAGCCTTCCCGGCGCCTCAGGGACTCCTGGGTGAAGCTGGAGAAGGGCACGGTGGCGCGTCAGGAATCCAGCCGCGTTGTTTTCTCGGCCTTTGGAATCAAGTAGAAAAGTGATTTGGGCTGCTGAGTCCGGGCGGCGCTGGCGGCCGGTAGCGGGGTAGGAGAGGCGCTTCGGGAAGTGGCGGCCGAGATTCCCGCGGACGCGAAGCCCGGCGCTGAGCATGGAGCAACAAGGTGAGGGCGCTCTTGCCCAGGACAAGGAGAGCTTTGAGTTTGGTAGCTCACACTGCCTGATGCCAGGAAAATTGACTCCACAGCCTTGGCTGGCGCGCTTCCCCACCTTTTTTCTTTTTATTCTTGCCCCCCCCCCCCGCACCCCTTTTCCTCCCTGAAAGTTGTTTCTTTTTATTTACCTGGTGCGGTTTCAGATCTCAGCACTTATCTGCTAGTTGATAAAACTGTTTTCTCTGTAATAGACATCTTTTCTCTTTTCCACTCCCTACTCCTGTTCTATTTCGCTCTCTACCCCATTTTCCCTTCTGCCCAAGCCTGTGGTCCAAGGTGAAGGGTTCTTAAAGGAAAAGAGCTGACCTTGGATAAGAGTTACCTTAACATTAAGGGTTGGAGAGAGGGTGGCCGGGGTTTGGGTGGGCAGAGAGCATTCCATGGGAGATTCTCTGGGGGTGCTTCAATTTGGAAAGAGGATGGGAAGAAAAAGGACAAGCGAATAGAGCTCGTCCACTTCCAACTGCCCTCCCCAGACCCCCCATAAAACCCAATTTCAACGCTTTAACTCCAGCCTCACCTGGCCCTCTATTAAAACTTGAGGTAGGCAGAAATCTTGAAATTGTTGTCATCAGAAAAGGAATTTAAAATAATATTAAATAATTCTCAAAATTGTGTCTGTAGGGGTGAGAGGGGAGATAAAATGCCCTACGTCCTTTTGGCAGTCCGTTGCTTAACCCATATGATCCTCTCCCCTGGTCTTTGGCCTTGCAGAAAAGCTGCATGGGAGGAAAGCACAGCGCACTTTACGAGATTTGAGGATTCGTGTCCGAATGAAACAGTGTTCTGTTGCCAGACATGTTTGGTTATTCATTTTCACCTTAGGTTGAATTTTCTTACAGGGCTAGCACTCCCTGAAATGGGTTGTCTTCTTCAGTTTGGCTACCCACCCCCCCTCCTTTCTGCTACCCTTAGTGTCTCATTCTTTGAATCAGAGCACTTTTAAGGTACAAACATATCTTACTCTACGTCTGCAGGGCAGACGTTGTTGATGCCGTTGATTGGGCAGAAAAACCAAAAACTGTAGTGGAGTTAGGGAGAGTTGTTTCTGGGTTCTTTCATTTTCTCATTGCTCTGAAATGTAATGACCTGATCATTGTTGTTTGAAGTTAAATTATCTGTTAAATTAACCCTAAACAATAACTGATGATATTTTTTCCATTTGGGTCTGGTTGCCCTTGGATGGGAAGGAGAGGCGTTAGAGAATGCTTGGTCACATAGTAATATAATCGAAACCCATATTTAGGTATTATGTAAGAAAGATCACTTTCAAAGAAGCTGAATTTCATAACTAAGAAATTCTTTTAAAGGCCTGTGCTCCAGAAGGACTACAGTAATTCAAGGATGAATGTAAATAAGCATCTTTGTTGATTAAGAGAAAAATATGAACACCGTATTTCATTACTCTTCAGAACCTAAATACTCAAAATCATCATACACTGGTTTTTGCTAAACTAAATTAATTCTGCCCTCCAAGGATAGTCTCAAAAAGAAAATTTGATGTTAAGCAAAATCTGAACCATTCTAGATATCAATTTCTAGAAATCCAAGGCATATTTATTTCTTTCAGTCAGACACTGTTTTGCAATCATTGTAAGAAACAATTTTGGAATAACGCAGATGCTTTTCCCCCCTTATTTCAGATTGCTTGTATATGCAGGCATGGGTGTGAGAGCTTCAGGGTATATTGAAGAAATTAAATTTTTCTTATTTGTTTTAACAAAAGGACCAAAGAATCTTTAAACCCAAAATGTCATAGTAGTTGGGAAAAATCTTCAAAAATAGCACTAGTGTGTGTTTTTCCTATTAAAATGTGCTGAATAATTAGAGGGTATGATAAAGGTTGAAAAATTCAGAACAAGAAAAAGGAGGGAATTTTATTATTTGATACTTTTATAATTTTTATAATTAATAATGTTTTAAAGTTTGACAAAGCTTTCCTAAAAAAGTGGAATATTCCCACCCCTTCAGAAATACTCTAAATGGAATAAAGTAGGATCAGGTAAAACTGGCAGCAAGCACGGCTTGTTTATTTAGGCATTTATTTTCCCAGTAGTAGTAGTAGTAGTAAAGTTGAAAATTTTACTTTTAATTATACGTTGCAAGCTCTGATTGCAGGTTGGAAGACTAAAATCGATCGTTCCTACATCGATAGTGTTGTCTATTACTGCATTGATTTGTGTTTATTTATGCAGAGACTTTCAGTTATTTACTTACATATTTCAGCATCTGCCTCTTGATTATTATTGCAGGTTGGTTTTAATGAAAGAGCTTGTACAGGAAACACATTTGACAGATCAATTTTAAGTAAACTTGATAGTGAATTATAGCAACCCAAAGAGTTTACAAAATTACTTATCATACTTGCTTTTTAGCAATTAGAAACCTGTTTCTGATTAGAACCTCATGATACTTGAAAACTTCCATTCTTCTCTTCACATATTGTATGGATGTTTCAATAAAATAGAAAAACAGATGATTTCATTATGTCAGATATGATAGGGTGAAACCAATGAGTGAGCCTTGTCTTTTTCTGTTGGCATAACTAGGTTTTCCTCATAATAAGCTGGCCGCTGGGCTTACTAAAGATGTAGATGAAAAATCAAGGGGCAGCGAGATTTGAATATAGAAATGGTATTGTTAACTTTAAGTTATTGGGGCTTTACTTCTTGTTAACTGGATATTTCAGAAATCTTCAGTATATATTAAATGCATTTATACATTCATCTGTTGTATTATTTAGTGTATATCTACAATCACACCTTAGGAAAATAGGTATTCTCTTGAACTAATAGCTCACATGTGAATGTTATATATCAAGGCTCATTTGAAGAAATACAACAGCTAAAGACCACGGGGTGTGTCTTTTATAGGTACAGGCAATTGTGGGAGATTGAGATTCATTCCTGTTTGTGCTTATTATCATCACAAAATATTGAAAGATGACTTGGAAATTGAAAAAAAAAGTGGTCTAATTTATCGAGGGCTATTTACTCCTCGTTTTATAGGATTTTGCTTGCAGTTTGGAAGAGGAGTCTTTCTTTCCTAGTAATTTGGAAGACATCTACCAAATGTGGTTAACAGTCATACTCTTCATCTCTTGCACCACCACCCCCCTCCCCGTTCCTGCCACCCCCTCCATTATTTAAGAGAAATATAGAAAGGAAAAGTAACCGAATTCTTTCTTGAGAACGAAAGGGCCTTAGGAGAGGGAAAGGGAATTAATCTCTTCACCCTGGCGAGTGTTCCAGAAACTACTTATCCTCAGCTTCCGCGACGTGAGAGGTGGAGCCTCACAGTCCGGCAGCTGCAGGCAGAAGGTGGGCGAGCCCCGGGGCCCTCAAGCTTTGCAGAAGGTTGAAAGGAGTGAAGGGAGAGATTTGAGTTTGTTTATTTGGTTTATTTTATTTTTCTATCCTGTGCCAAGCCCTTGAAGTTAACACAGCGACATAGCCTTTTAAGACTAAGCACTCCTGGCATTCTTTCGAGACCGAGATTCCAGAGCATCGAATGAACAGGACTTATAGCGAAGGCGTGCTCACCCACCCCTCCCTCCATCTTTTTACGCACGCACCAGCTCGTCCTCACGTGCACGGGGTAGTGGACAGTGTTGACTTGAATTGCTCTCGCTTGCTCCAAGACTTTCCTGTGAATGAACCCGAAAACACTCGACAGGTCGTGAATAATCGTTTTAATGAGTGTGCAAAGCGTGCGACGGAGTGCACCGAGCTGTCGGGTTAAACAAACAACTTGTACCCTGACCAAATCCGATTGTTAAAGTGCAAAGTGATGTCAGTACCATTTCCATTGCCCTTCGGAAAACCACAGATCTGACACGCGGGAGTCCAATTTTCCCCATTAAAGAAAAATAACAATATTTTCCAACCGTGTATGTGATCTTCTTTAATATTAATCTGAGCCAAAGGAAACCTCATTTGAGAGTCAGAGAAGTAGTCATGTCACTGTTTCAAAAACAAATCAAAAGGGAAAATGAGGAAGAAATGAGAACAAATATAGTCTCAGAGAGGATTTCTTTTTGATAGCTCATGTCATTACTGATCAATACTATAAAAATCTTACATATATATAACATTTTACAGCTCACTACAAGCAAATATCAAGTGTATCTAACCAATTGGAGTTGGTAATTTGCTTCTGTACTAAGACTGAATCTCTATACCTGTAAAAACTTTTTCTATTGAAAATGTAACTACAATATTTGCTGTTAAATATTAGCCTGTGAGAGAATGAAGGGACAAGTAGTCTCCACATTTATGCTCTCAAGGAAAACAATTTGGAGGAAAGTAATGGGAAAGGAACCCTGATGGGCCACCATCTAAAACAATAACAAAAAGCACAAGTGAGCTCTTGATGGATAACACACTTTTCCCTTTCTTTGTACAACTGCACTGGGGAAATATTTTTGTTTCTTTCCATCCAGTTAAATGATCTATTTGGAATCAGCTACATGTTCTCCTTTCCTTGTTCATTCTCTTATCTTCTTTCACAATTCCAAACACCAAAAACTACATGAAGAGTAAGAAAATTAAACCTCGAAAGATGTAAGAGAAATCCCTTTTACATATGCCCTCTAAAATTTTTGTGGAAAAATGTGTAAAATGCTTCCCCTGCCAGCAACTCATACACACTTATGAGTCAAACAAAATGTCCAAGATGCTTGGAAACCAGTGTATTAGTTCCAAATAACTAGCTTCTTCAACTCAGTAACAATATGGGAAGATTAAAGTTTATACTTTCATTGGATTAAGAAACATAGGTTATGTATTTTTCTTTATTAAAGACTGAAAATATATCATGTCCTATAGTCTGAAAGGTTACTGTCCTCTTATAATTGTAACCAGCTTGTAGAAATGAAATGGTAGGGATATGGCACATTTGAATATGGGAGTTCAGCAGCATTTGCTCACTTAACTCCTACTAGCCATATTGTCATCTACATCTTTCTTTCTGACCATCTATTTCACATATGAATATGTTAATATACAACCAATTGCAATTAAATGAAATAATCCACCTAAAACATGACTGAGGTGTTTGATGGAATAAGGAATTTCTATGGAAGTCATTGTAGTTTTGCCTATTATGGTTGCTAGTTCTTATACATCTGTGTTCATTTGGCACCAATTGGATAAAATGGAAGGTATTGAAATTCAGTTTCCATCATCAAAACTTGGAAAAGACAACCAGTAGTTTAGGACCGTGTTTTTGTTGATTTTGACTGTTATCTAGTGAATGTCTGTATCAGAATATCAATTCAGACTATCCTTTATTTTCTAGGAAATTTGACAAAAAATGACTATCAAAAACTAGGGACTTGCATTTTTTATTGTTTTAAATATTTCTGGGCACACAACAGACTGTGCAGTTATTACCTAAACAGATTTCTTCTCTGTGGGCTGACTGAGTTGAGGAATTTTAGGAGTCACTGAAAGAGCCACATCCATTTCTGTTTTAAATGCACAAACAGCAAAGCTAGAGGGTGCGTCTGTTTTTGTGTGTATATATGTAGTTAAAGAACTACACTATCAAAACATTAATTATATTTGAAAGAGAGCAGAGAGCTTGTTGTGGAGAGAATTGCATTATTGAATTTATATTCCATGGAATCTGTCTGTGGAGAGGGCTGAAATTGTATACCTGTCTTATATCATGCACCCTCTCCAGTGAGGTGCATAACTAGAGCAAAGAGAGGCAAACTTGGAGGGGAGTGAGCATAGATATTTGGATGTCCTAAGCAAGGGAATCCACGTGCAAATGCAAATCACATGAAGAAAAAGCATGGGGTCTTTGTTCTCTGTCAACAAAAGCAAATATAGTATTTTTCCTCTATCAAGCAAATCACAGAATGATCTTAAGTTGAATTTGGAGGAGGGGGAGAGGTTGAGTGACTAAGAATATTTCAATTATCATATTTCTGATCCCCAAGTCCTGTTTATTTCACAGCTGCCAATTTTTATATCCAAAATTTAGACTCTCTTCCTCCCAAATCCTACATTGGTATGAATCATCCCTGATCATTTTTAGTTTTTTGGCTTAATTACCAGTTTTCAGCTTTAAATTACCAATAAACTAATTAATCTGACTAATCTTTCTAAACTTCTACTGAATAGTATAATAGCTGCAACAACAACAAAAATAAAATAACAAAACTACAGCAATAATGACAGAAATAAAATGTTAATAATAATGCAAACAATAGTAGCAGAAACAATTTTAAAATAATTTCTCTGGTCGACAGGATGAAGATGGAATCCATTTCAGTCTGAAATGTGTTTCATGGCTGTAACGGGCATTCCTCTGAATTCTTGTTTCACTGGTTAGATGGATCCAGTCCAACTCAAGTGTTCTAAAAAAGACTCCCTTGGTCTAATATGGTAGGTCTTTTTAATAGCACTAAGTACTTTTGTACCCATTCCTCTTCATTGCTATAGGCATGTCCCCCTTGGGCACCATTCCCAGGTAAATCAATCTGGGATGGAGATTGGAAACTGAGGTAGATGTATGAAGGGATTCTTGGGTAGAAAAACCTGGTGCCTTCTGGCTGGAGCCCTGCTGATGAATGGACAAATTGTTATATTTGGGAATCGTGTTCACAAAGCTGAGGAGTTTCAGAAGGACAAAGTAACTGAGGTTCCTTTGAGTCTAAAGAGAACACTGGCCCTGAGGAACTCAGCCCTAAGGGCAAGACACAAAAATCAGGAATTAGGTCCCCCTGATCATCAACTCTTTTGATTACTTTTGGGATGAAGGGACAGAAAGGGGACAATAAAATGAGGGGAGTAGAAGTGAAAGGAAGAACCCAGGTTGAAGATGTTAATAACTAGTGGTGATCCAGCTAGTAAAGCTAAGCTTGTCTCTTTAGGGGGAGGTAGAAGTGCTTTTGTCAATTGTAAACCTGCCAAGGTTTACTGTTCTACGTGCAAGAACAGCCACCAGTTCCTGAGTCTATGCTCTGAATGAAGAATCTGCCATTAAGTTTGTACCTGCAGGGATCTAATTCCATCAGCCAGAATGTTCTCTCCATCTTCCAAGCCCTTGCCTGCCACCCCCCGCCCCCCAGCCAAGAAAAAGGAAATGAAAGAAAATAAAAATCAGGTGGGGAGGGAATGAGACTCAATGCTTGTCGGGCAGATGTTGGGGTTAAAGCAGGTTGTCTGATAACTGCCTTCATTTGTGGAGGGGAAAGAAAGCTGGTTAGGAGATGAAGGGGAGCTACAGGAGAGGAGAGCAGGACTGAGACAGAAATTCCTCAGCAGCCCAGCAGCTAAAACCAAACGAAAACAGACCTTAGTTACAGAAGAATGGACTGGGAGGGAGCAAGGAAGGGTGACTTAAATTTTTAGGCTTTGTTGTATTTTCCTGCAAATCAATGTAGCCCTGAACATTTACAAGAAAATAAGATCTGTGTGCCTTCTTAAAAAACAAATTACAAAAGGCATAACTATCAATAGCCAGTTTTGTTCTCTAGAAAACTTTTTTATTTAGATACTGTCTTCAACTTCACATATGGACACAGTCCATAACTGAACCCAACAGTAGTTGAAGGAAGCAAGGGTGGGAAAGAAAGGGCTGGCCTCCCTGCTGGTAGTACCAGGCATCTATCTCTGCACCTTTCACAGCAGGGAGGCTGAACAATCTTTTTTCATTTCTGTCTAGGTTTTTTTTTTTTTTTAAGTACAAAAATATTCCTGTTCATGAGAATATTATTTCACTAAGAGCAACCAAGACTGAGGAGCTTTCATTTCTAGATAAATTTCAGAGATAAATTCACTGAGGTGATGCTCACTCTGCAACGGTAGTAAGGCGACTTTGGCTAAAACTGTGTATCGCTTTGCTCTTCAATGGCTCCCCAGGCTTTCTCCGTGTACTAACAATAACTAAGAACTACTAAGTTCACTTAAGCTCTTCTGGAACTACAGCTCTGCAACTTGAAATCAGACTGGAGCTTTCCATATAAAATCCAGTTCTAATTAAAATAACATTTTAAGGAAAATATTGTTATTGCAATTTTTATTTGAAAATTTCCTTTGATTCAGAGATAAGTGTCATTCATTTCAATAAGAAAGTTAAAAGAAATCAATATTTCCAGTAAAAGTGCCCTCAACTCTGTTACACACACACCCAGAGTATGGCTTTTAAGAATTTATTTTCAAACACTTTGATTTTAATTGTATATAACTGAGAACCTCTGAGTCCTTGGAGACATGCCTAACTAAAAGACACTAAATTAATACTCTTATAATGGGAATATTTGATAGAAAGTAAAGATACACCAAAAACAGTTATTTCACAAAGTAGTAAAAGTCATGCAGACATTTGCGTGCACTCAGTTTATGCACTTATTAAACAAAATATTCTATATCCCAATATCTTGAAAAATCTTTAACCTACACAAACCAGATATTTAAATGCTTATGCATTTATACACACATATATACACATTATATATACCATGTTACATATAGTTCAAATGTTTATATTCATTCTTTATAGAAACTAAGATCTAAACAAATATTAGCATTTGTAACTTTTTAACTACCAGTAATTGGGGTTTATGACCTGTAAACAACGAGAGAAAGGCAGAACTACTACATTCTGCTTAGACTGTATTAAGAAGCAAATATAGGTTTCTTTCTGTCTTGGGGTGTTGCAAGAATAAGGAATTTAGGGATGAATGGAATTGCGATCTATATATGTTTCAATAAACCAAGAGGCAGTAATTTCATTCTTTAAACTTTAACATCTTACTATTAAAGAAAAGACATATCTACAGTTTCAAAGATAGAAGAAGTAAGCCCAAGTCAAGTGATGATATTTTGAAAGGAATGGTTTCAAATGATGGTAACATTTTTTTCCAACAAAGAACTTTTCAAGGCAGATAAAGCCAGATCCGTTGCACAAGTGGCAAAGCAAACATTTTAGTAATGGGCTGTGTGTGTGTGGGGGGGTATTTAATGGACTGACACACTTTGAATATTTATGAAGAGTAATATTTCTTTGAAGAAGGTCATGATTGTCCATCATGTTCCTTAAAAACTGGTAATAGGTAGCGAAGGAAGTTTGGGGGAGGAAAAGTTCAAGCATTCTAACTATTGCTAATGGTGAAAGAATATGACCTGTGTAGAACAGGAAAGGATTCCATGCCATGAGAGAAGTTGCAAAAGTCTTTGGTCCTATCATGTTTAATCTCTTTTAGATACACATTTCAAAAACATATCCTTTCCACTAGGCTCTCATCTGCAGTTATGGCTCACAGACATTTTGTATTAAAGTGTAGTCCAATGCATCAGTGCAGTTTTGAAAACAGTGGATGGGAAAAATAAAGGTACAGTTTTATCAATGAAATTCTCACTGGCAGTTGAAGAACAGGAAAGAGGGAGGCTTCAAAACAGGGTGGTGGGAGGAGAGTAATATTCTTTAGGTGAGTTTTGGGAAGATGCTAAGTAAAATGCTGTTCAGAAATTGGGATTAATCGAGCAGTTTAAATACAAATCTGCCGGAAATCATGCTCTGTGCGAATGAAAATGAAGGAATTTATGCATATTCTAATTTTCCCTCTTTGGCTGCTATTTTGGAGGAAGAGACTTCTTTTGCTGATGGTGGGACTTTTTTGTTCCGCACAGGAAATGTGTAAATGAACACAAATGTTATTTTTTTTTTCTCCTTTCCATTTCTCTCCTCCCTTCCTCCTCCCTCTTTCAACAATTATAACTTGTTAGGGACCTCAGTTCCGTGGCCACAGATCCCAGGGTTTCTCCCCATTTCCGGGATGCCAGAGGGCAGGCAGTGCAGGGAAGGGGAGTCAGGGTTCCTCTGGGTTAGACCTTTGGAAATTAACTTATAGCTCCCATTTCATTTTCGGACATTCAAAGACAGTAGAGAGTGAGAAGTCATACGTTTAATGTGATGAAAATTCATCTCAAAAGCTATTTCCTCTCACGACTGAATTCTCAGTAAAACTGGACTGAGGAGAACTTAAAAGTGATCTCATAAACCAAGTTGTGAAGATCTACTGACCTCCAGCGCGGAGTCGAGCTATTTTCTCTCTCATGCCCTTGGGAACAAACCGTACTGGTGCATTTTAATTATATTAACACCAGCAAGAAACTCTCTCGGTTAGCCTATTCTGATGTAAGTCGCCTAATGCTGAGACGAAGTGAAGTGGAACGCTGTGGTCGTTCTGTGTTTTGTGGCGTATATAAGGGACTCCTGAGACGGTTCATCAGGTGCGTGGGGTGAAGGTAGGGGCGGGGGCGATTCTGTCCACGGGGAAAGCAAGAGGCAGCGGGAGCCGGAGAGCCTGAGAGAGAGGAAAAGAGGCGCTCTCTTTCCTCCGGGTCACGCATTGTCAGTCCACGCTGAGAGCTCCAGAATTAATTCCGGAACGGGGAAGACAAACTGACACTCCGGGTTTCCAGCTCCTTTACTACCCTCTGGATAAAAGTCTCGGAGCCAACGCTATTCTTAACTATTTAATTTGAAAAGAGCCCGGTGGTGCACTCCCCACTCCCCCCGCCCCCGGCTCCCTCAGCCGCCCACACAGCGCCGCCCCAGCCCGAGCGTCCTCAAAGGCCGGAGCGCCTCAGCCCGGTTCACCAGCAGCCCTGCGAACCCGGCCGAAGCCTCCGCGAAGGAGGGCGGCGAGAACGAAGCCCCACCTCCCCCCACCACCCGCCATCCCCGCCCCATCCCTAGCTCGAGCCGCTTCCTCGCACATACTTTCAGTGCCCCCATGGGAGCGTCGGTGCCCCAGCGTGCCTGCTTTCTCACATCCCCTACGCCGGGACCCCATCCCGCCTCCCACTTCAGTCTTCCTCTGTCAGGAAGGGGGCGCCGCTCGGCAGGCTCCGGGCAGGTCAGCGCGCCGCTCGTGTGACTCGAGGCCGAACGCCCGTTCCCCTCCCCGTACAGGCGGGGGGGGGGGGGGGGGGTTGTGCAGAGTCGCCGAGCAAAAAGCTGCGAGAGGCACGCGGCCCCTTCCCTGCACAACTCACGTCAAGCTTACAGCCACATTTAGGAACCTCTTCCGAAGAGCTCAAAAATTCCCATTTTGCGGAAAGCCTGTTAGGACGTGATAGGACCGTGTGGTCCGAGAAACCCGTGAGAGGCTTCGAACGACCTCGGTTCTAGAGTCAAACCCTGCTGGGGGCAATTTCTCCCGCGCACTCCAGATCCTGCACTTCCGGTCCCCCTGTGGGGTCCTGACCGTCCCCTACGCCCGCACTTCCGCAGAATCACGTGGCTCAGGGATGTGTGGAGAGCTGTTTCCAATACCTTTATGTAGCTGCTGGGGCCTTCAGCTGTTCCCGTCATTTCTCTTTATTCTGAATTTCCTTTAATTTCCTTGCTTCCCTCTGTGGGAAATGGAGTGCAG